TAAAGCACTTAGGGTTAATATCCAATAGGAAAGGTTGGGCTTTTGTGCGTTCTCAGGGATCACTCCTGGCAGGGCTTGGGGAACCAACCACGTGCCTTACCCACTGTACTATCTCTCCAATGTATCTTTCAAATTTTATTTAGTGCCATAATACACTTAGAATTTGGTGAATTTAGATCCTCCTCCAATCTGGGGAAAGAGGGCGGGGGTTAGGTGCCTGCCCTGCATGTGGCCAACTCCTGAGTAGTGCTCAACGCCACCAGGAATCACCCCGGAGCACAGAACCAGAAGCATATAGCTGGGCATGGCCTAAACCGCACCCCCCCAAAAAAAGAGAAATGAAAAGATAGACTCCACCTTGGTTTGTTACATATGTTGTCATAGAGGGGTCAAGGATTTAAAAATTTTTTAGATGTTTAATAGACTAAGCAACCTTTATTTAAATCACCATCTTTTCCTGCACTGCACATGTACTGTCATCTTGGTTATAAGCCTGTTGGTCAGATACATGTTTTTACTTTCAAACTTTTCTTCTCCAGTGCTATATTTTAATTAATTAATTAATTAATTAGCTTGTTTAATTTCTCCTTTATATACCACAGTGGTAGGGCATTTGCCTTGCACGCAGCTGACCTGACCGGCCCAGGTTCAATTTCTCCGCCCCTCTCAGAGAGCCCGGCAAGCTACTGAGAGTATCTCGCCTGTACAGCAAAGCCTGGCAAGCTACCTGTGACGTATTCAATCGATATGCCAAACACAGTAACAACAAGTCTCACGATGGAGACTTTACTGGGCCTGCTTGAGCAAATCGATGAACAATGGGAGGACAGTGACAGGGACATTATTTTTTAATTGAATCACCATGAGATACACAGTTACAAAGCTGTTCATGGCTGAGTTTCAGACATACAATGTTCCAACACCCATTCCTCTTCCAGTGTACATTTCCCACCACCAATGTCCCCAGTTTCCCTCCTTTCCCCACACCCCGACCCCAGGATGCCTCAATGGCAGACACTTTTCTTCTTTCTCTCTCTCTCTCCTTTAGGGCGTTATGGTTTGCAATAAAGCTACTGAGAGTTTTATTTTTTTAACATGTTTGTTCCTTTACCTATTTTCAGCATACAGTCCTCCAGAGTCATTATTTCCAATAATCAGGTCCCTTCTCTATCCCAACTACCTCCCACCGCACATGAGGCAGGCTTCCAACTCTGGACCAATCCTCCTGGTCCTTGTTTCTAATACTTTGGGTATTAATCTCATACTATGCTTTTGTCATATCCCACAAATGAGTGCAATCATTCTATGTCCGTCCCTCTCCTTCTGACTCATTTCATTCAGCATGATACTTTCCATGTCCATCCACTCATAAGCAGGTTTCATGACTTCATTTTTTTCTGGTGACTGCATAGCATTCCATTTTGTAGATATACCATAGTTTCCTTAACCATTCATCTGTTTTCAGGCACTTGGGTTGTTTCCAGATTCTATTAAGGCAATGCCTAAGCCTCTGTACTATCTCTCTGGCCACCTTCAATAACATCTTTATTGAAGGAGAAAATAAAAATGAAAGATAAATGCATGGTTTGTGCTTTCTATCTCAATAAAGATGTTATTTAGGCATCATGACTTACAATGATGCAGGGCTGGAGTGATAGCACAGCAGGTAGGGCGTTTTCCTTGCATGCGGTCAACCTGGGTTCGATTCCCAGCATCATATATGGTCCCCTGAGCACCGCCAGGAGTAATTGTTGAGTGCAGAGCCAGGAGTAACCCCTGAGCATCGCCGGGTGTGACCAAAAAAAAAAAAAAAAAGACTTACAGTGGTGCTAATATTAATGTTTCTCTTAACTCCTAATATGAACTTTACAGGAATCTAATGTGATACACATAATGTGATTCTATTCAGGAATAGAATACTACACCTGCATAAACCACTCAAGTGTACAACTCAATGACTTTCACGATTAAAAATATTTATTTTTGTTCTTTTTGCAAGGCTGGGGATTGAACACAGGACCTCAATATGCAAGCCAAGTTCTACCACTGAGCTACCTCGCTAGGTAAAAGACTCATGTCTTTTTTTTTTCCTAGCTAAATAAGGAAATGTTTATTTTCTTTTTTTCTTTCTTTTTTTAAAAAATTTTTTATTAGTGAAACACAATGAGGTACAGTTGTAGATTTACAAATTTTTTGTGCTTGGGTTTCAATTATACAATGATCAAATACCCATCCCTCCACCAGTGCCCATTTTCCATCACCATGGATCCCAGTATCCCTCCCACCCCCATCTCCCCCATCCCACCCTGCCTCTGTGGCAGGTCACTCCCTTTTGTTCTCTCTCTCCTTTTGGGTGCTGTGGTTTGCAAAAGAGGCATTGAGTGGCAATCATCTTCAGTCCATAGTCTACTTTCAATATGCATCTCCCATCCTGGGCAGATCTTTCAAACACCCTTTATTTGGTGCTCCCTTCTCTATCTGAGCTGCCCTTTCCCCTAGAATGCCAGGCTAGCCTCTAAGCCATGGAGTAATCCTCCTGGTACTGATCTCGGCTATTCTGACTCATGTCTTTTTTGACTGTGCGGTTTGCTGGCCCCAATGGAACAATTTAAAACAATATTACAGAATGTTAACTATCCCCACAGTCAATTTCAGTATGTTCTCATCATTCCCTAAAGAAACCTCCTCCTATACCTCACTCAGTTGCCCAATGAGCCCTAAACAATCCCAAAGTTATTTTCTTCTCTTTTTTTGGGGGGGGGGTCATCTGGAGATGCTCAGGGGTTACTCCTGGTTCTGTTCTCAGGAATCACTCCTGGCGGGGCACTGGCTACCATATGGGATGCCAGAAATAGAACCCAGGACTGCCACAGGCAAGGCAAGCTCCCTCCCCACTACTCTCTCTGGCCCACATTTTTTTTCCTTACATTTTTATTAGTGAAACACCATGAGGTACAGTTGTAGACTTACAAATTTTTGTGCTTGGGTTTCAGTTATACAATGATCAAGTACCCATCCCTCCACCAGTGCCCATTCTCCACCCCGACCGATTACAGTATCCCTCCCACTCCCCATCCCCCTATCCCACCTTCCCTCTGTGGCAGGGCACTCCCTTTTGCTCTCTCTCTCCTTTTCTCTCCTTTTGGGTGCTGTGGTTTGCAAAAGAGGCACTGGGTGGCAATCATGTTCGGTCTATAGTCTACTTTCAGCATGCATCTCCCATCCTGGATGGATCTTCCCAACACCCTTTATTTGGTGCTCCCTTCTCTATCTGAGCTGTCTGGCCCACTTTTATCCCCATTCACTCCCCATGCCTTTGCCCTCATTGTCGTTGATACTGTTTTTAGCCACAGCCATGCTCAAGGCCACTCTCCACATGCTTGGACAAGCCTCATGCATGAAGGAATCGGCAGAGGAACCCAGGTGTATGGGACCAGTGGCTGAGGTCTCCAAGCCTGCTCGGATTGGGACTGGGCCTCTTCCACCCACATCCCCCATTTTCCAGTAGCTTGGCAGTCAGTCATACCCACAAACTGCCCCCAGCGCCATATATCTCATCAAGGGCCAAGATCCAGAGACTATAAAACAAAGCTCCCGGAAAAGAGCGACACAGTATTTCCTGGAGTGCAGCTGGCAGCACGACCTCTTATAGTCTAGCCCACTGTCCTTAAAGCAGCACACATGTGTTTGGTTTTAACATATTTGCTTGTATTCTCCATCCCTCTTGGAGAGCCTGGCAAGCTACTGAAAGTATCTTGCATGCACGGCAGAGCCTGGCAGAGTTCCCTGTGGCTTATTTGATATTCCAAAAACAGTAACAATAATGGGCCTCATTCCTTTGAACCTGAAAGAGCCTCCAATATGGCAGCGTTTTAAAAAATGAGTAAGGAGACACTGTTAAAATCTCAGGGCTGGGAGGAATGAGACGTTACTGGAACCAATGAGATGTTACTGGAACCCGATAGAGTAAATCCATGAATAATGGGATGACAGTGATACAGTGATACTGTTTTTAGCAGGAGGTGGGGTGGGCCACACCCATTGGTACTAAGGGACTACTCCTTATCATGTGCTCAGGGATGCTCATGCTAGGTGCCGGTATTGAACCCGTATTGCTGTTGTTGCAATGACCAGGGATCACTCTCACTTGTCCGTGATGTCCTCATGCTCGATTCTGGTGCTTACCAGGTTTGTATTACTTTAGTTGTGGGGCTCACACGCGTGTGGGTTGAAATGCTCATTTAGGATTGTGCTCCTGGCCATGGAGAGCTTGCACATCTTTTGCCGGCTCTCACACATCATTCAGTTGTTACAACTCGCACACAGTTGGCCGCTGGATAGACAGTGCAAGAGGTCAGACACTAGGCTTGCGTGTGGTGAACCCTGAATTGAACTCCCAGCTAGAATTAAAGGTTTGGGGAGGGGCATGCATTTAATGAAATCCTTCCCTCGGGTGCTGCCCCATTTGCACTCTTAGCAGCACTTAAGTATCAGTTTCCCAGGACCCTGGTCAGTATGTCAGTGATGCTTCTGAGTTTCCGTCCAGTTCTCCAAGCTTCGTTCTGCCCATTCCCCTGGACTTTTCCCATATCCTTTCACCACGGTCAACGTGGCTCGGTCTCCAATCACCGCAAAGGAGGCCGCGCGGCCGCGAAGACCGGCTCACGTAGCTGCTGACCGCCCAAGCCCTGACGCGCCGCCTTCCCGGGTCCCGCAGGTAGCAGAGAGCGCTGCGGGGGCCAGAGTCAGAGTCCGAGCCGGAGCCCAAGCCCGAGCCCCGCCCCCGGGCCGTGCGCCACGCCCCCTTGACGTATTTCCGCGCCATCTGCCGTCCAAGCGGACTCCCATTGGCTGCCGGGAAAGCAGCGGGGCGGGGCCGAGCGGGTGCGTGGCAAATCCCGTCCCTTGGCGTGGGGCGGGGGCGGGAGCGTGGGGGCGTGGCTTCCTCTACGCCCCTCCCCATTCCCCGCCCTCGGAGCCTCCGGGTGCCGCTGTGCTCAGTGGCTGGGACGCGGCGCTCGAAGCTGCCGCGTTTTCCTGGGCTTGCGGCTGGAGCTGGGCTCCGGTGCGTGTGCGCGCGGCGGGCTGCGGGGGACCCGGCGGGCGGCGGGGGAGCGGACGGGAGTCCCGGGCTGCCGATCCGCGCCGGGCCAGACCGCCGCCGGCTCCTGGGCGCGGACGGCACGCGCGGGGCGCCCCTTCGAAGGCCGCCCCGGGCTCGCGGCTCCGCCTCGGCCCCCCGCGACGTGTGTGCGCCCGGCAGCGCGAGGGAAGAAGCGCGCCGGGTTCGCGCGCCCCGCCGACTTGGAAGCGCCTCCCGCGGTGCCAGAATGCCCAAAAAGAAGCCGACGCCCATCCAGCTGAACCCGGCCCCCGACGGCTCGGCGGTGAACGGGACCAGCTCGGCGGAGTGAGTACGGGGCGCGCGGCAAGCACCGGGATCAGGGCGCAGGGGTGCGCGGCGCGGTGCGGGGCTCGGGGCGGCCGCCGAGGGGTCGGTGACTAAGCACGGAAGGGGCTTCTGACTCACACCGAATCTGACCCCCGTCCCGGTCCCGCCCTGCAGCGGGTCACCCGGCTTCTCCGGGAGGGTGAAATCTGTCCTTCCCAACCCCCTCCCGCCGGCTCCCGAGTGCGTTCGTCCGGGGGCTCGTGGCCTGCAGCCGCCGCGGGGGCGCACGTGTCCCGGGGGCTCCCCACCGCGCGCGGCGCATCCTCGGTCCGCGCGGGACACCTGTGGGCCGTGGCGTGCGTGCGGCGCCCGTGCGGCGCCCCAGCGACCCCGCCGTGCCCTCGCCGCGCGGGGGGTGCGCGCACTCCGCCCTGGCGTTCTTCTTGGAAGCGATCTTGTCCGGCAGGGAGTGGCTTTCCTCTTCTTCCTCTGGTTTCACTCATTCGTTCATTCATTGCACAGATGACTGTATGTACTTGACCTTGAGCCCCTAAAGTCCCGATTTGAGAGAGGGACGCCGTGGGCAGTGGGCAGCGCGCCCCAGGCCCGTCTCTGCTGCGCTTGTTTCTTTGCTCTAACAGTGAGGCTGTCTCGGAAGGGAGGTTGGTTCTGAGCTGCAACATCTCTTTCGGATCCTGGGTGAGGGACAAGACTGGGCGAGGGAGACACAGGTAGCGGTAGCTGGAGAATCCACCTCCCTCTCCCCCCCAAAGAACAGGCTCCCTGTCTTTTCCCTGTGCGCGATGGACTGGATGGAGTGAACAGAGTCGGCAGGACTTGCTGTGTCCAGCCCCATAATGATGTAGGGTCCGTGGTGGCGGGCGCTGGCTCAGTCTGGTTCCTCAGTCAGACCCCCTTCAGAGTTGTCGTTTGTTTGCATGACACTGGCCGTGCAGGTCAGTGGGTTGCTTTGTAAACAAGAGTCCAAATGACTCTGCAGCATTTTACCTTCTGAGACAGCTGAGGTCCCCTCCAGGCTTGCGTTCCTGGGCAGCTCCGTTTCAAGACTGGTTTTGACCACAGGGAGTATGGGTCCGTCCCCTCACCTCACTCCTGTCTGACATCGCAGAAGGTCCAGAGGGAAAGTGACCAGAAATCTAGCTCATGGTAGTTGTGACACCGTATTTGTATTCTGGCAAAAGGGAGGCATTTGTCTATAGGCAAATATGACAAGAAGGATGAGGCGAAACTCCTTAGGACTTTGTGGCAGAAAATGTGGGCAGGGACGGAGAGATTCTAAATAGTGGTTCTGGGGCTGGAGTGATAGCACAGCGGGTAGGGCGTTTGCCTTGCACGCGGCCGACCCGGGTTCGATTCCCAGCATCCCATATGGTCCCCCAAGCACGGCAGGAGTAATTTCTGAGTGCATGAACCAGGAGTAACCCCTGTGCATCGCTGGGTGTGACCCAAAAAAGCAAAAATAAATAAATAAATAAAATAAATAAACAGTGGTTCTGGAGTGGCTCTCTAGAGCGGAGACAGGGTTGAAATGTTGTGATTTGTGACCTAGGCAGCGCTCTCTTCCTCGTGCTCCATCTGCAAAGTTACACTGATTGTAGAACCTACTTAGAGTAATAGCACTGTAGCACTATCCTCCTATTGCTCATCGATTTGCTCTAGTGGGCACCAGTAATGTCTCCATTGTGAGACTTGTTGTTACTGTTTTTGGCATATTGAATACACCACGGGGAGCTTGCCAGGCTCTGCTGATACTCTCGATACTCTCGGTAGCTTGCCGGGCTCTCTACGAAGGACTGAGGAATCAAACCTCGATTGGCCTCGTGCAAAGCAAACACCCTACCCTCTGTGCTATCGGGAACTGTTCCTAAACCTTTGTAAATGTTGGCTGCTGTTACCTTTATTAGGGGGTGATACTGATAAGGCTTAAGGAGCCTTTACTTATGGGGGGGGTGGGCGGGGTGATTCTTCCAGTTTAAATTTTGTGCCCTCTGCATCAACCTCCTGACTCATTGTGGTGTTACAAAAGGAGGCATCTTGGGGCTGGAGCGATAGCACAGCAGGTAGGGCGTTTGCTTTGCACGCCGCCAACCCGGGTTCGATCCCCAGTATCCCATATGGTCCCCTGAGCACCGCCAGGAGTAATTCCTGAGTGCAGAGCCAGGAGTAACCCCTGTGCATTGCCAGGTGTGACCCAAAAAGCAAAAAAAAAAAAAAAAAAAAGGAGGCATCTTTGTGTTACACTGCCTGAAACAAAACAGGGACTGGTCCCCTGCATTTCTTGGCACTAAGGTGTGAAGGGGGCAAGGGAGGATGAGGGCAGTGGTGCATACATCATCTTTAAGTTCTGTTCTGGAGTGTTCCTCAGACAAAACTTGAGGAACATAGAAATTTTCATCATTTCTATGATTAGACTAGGGCACAATGTTATTATCAGTTTAAAGTAAATGAAGAGAAATTAAAAAAAAAAAAGAAAAGGAAAGCCAATTCTTGATAGTAAAGAGTTCTTGGCACTCACTTGTCCGAGTTGCTTCCCCGACTTGGCTGCATGGCGCTGTAGGATTCGCCTTTGACATCTTGCCTTACTCAGGTGAAGCTGGGCTGAATAGACCTGATCTATAGGCAAGTTACGGAGATCCTAGATGAAAAAGAATGCAACGGTATTTCCTTTGGACATTTTTGCAAAGCATGTGCTGTTACAAGGGCATCGAGCCTTAGAATCAAGTGCGTTGAAGAGTAAGCTCACATTTCCTTGTGTAAAATGGTGTGATCTTATTGAGGTTAGAATAAAATCTCCTTCCACTTAGCTCTGAGACTCTTGAGTGATCTGCCTGCTGTGGCCCCTCCACCCATCTCTTTAACCTCATTTCCTGCTGTTCTTTTTTTTCTTCTGCCACATTGGTCCTGTTTCACTTCCTCCTGGGGATGATCCAAACTTCCTCCAGGCCCCAGTAGATGCTAGTCCCTTTGCCTGGAATGAATCATCCCTTCCTTTTCCCCAGCTGGGAAGGAAGCACTCTTCACCTTTTTGCCAAAATGTCATTTCCTTTGAGATGCTTCCAGAATACTTAATCTAAAGTACTTCTCCTGTCCTGTCACCTGGTGTTTCTTAAATGACACTTATTCACTGTGTTTTTCATACCTATCTCTCCTCTTCCCCATACATTAGAGGACTGCCTCTTTGAATTCATCATAAGTACGTCCTCTGTAAGTTGTTCTTAGATTAGTAGCTGGCACATAGTAAGTGCAAAAATGCTTGTTGAATGAGTCAACGTGTGAATGAAATTTCTAATATTTGCACAGTCTGTTTAGTAAACCCTTTTTATCTTTTCAGTTTTTCCTTTTCCTTTCTCCTTTGCCCTCAGTTACTCTCTCTCCCCAATTTCTTTTCTTTTCTAGGCAGTACAGCCTTATACTTCACCCTAGGTTTGGGTGTACATGTTCCTTTGAGAAGTATTATTAGTTTGTATATTTGTGTATTTATATATTTCTGTGTGTAGGGTATGAAGTGTGGTACTTAACCTTGAAAAAAGAAGATATTGGACTGGAGAGATGGGATGGTGGGTCAGGGTACTTGGTTGCACGCAGTTGACCCAAGTTCCATCCCCACCAGGAGTGATCTCTGAGCGCAGAGTCAGGAGTGGTCCTTGAGCACTTCTAGGTGTGGCCCCCAAACCAGACCAAAATAGAAGATCCTGGGCCAGAGAGATGGTATAGCGGGTGGGGCGCTTGCCTTGCTTATGGCCAGCCTGGGTTTGATCCCCAGCACCAGCATGGTACCCTGAGCATCGCCAGGGATCATTCATGGTACCCTGAGCATCGCCAGGGATCATTCCTGAGCTGAGCACTGAGCTGCTCCGAGCACTGCCACTCTACCCCTGCCCTCTTGAACACACACATAAGATCACACCATTTGCAACAATGTGGATGAACCTGGAGAACATTATGCTGTGGAATAAGCCAAGTTCAGAAAGAAAAATACTGCATGAGCCCATATTCAGAATCTACAAAAATGGAACGCATAACATCAGAGAGTAGTGCCATGGTTACCAAGAGTGGGAAGGTGAGGGAACTGCGAATTCACTGGTCAAGGGGTACAAAGTTGGAGTTATGTAGAATGAATAATTTTCAAAATCTAAGACGCAGCACGCTGACTATAGTTAATGAGATCGTGTTATACTGCAGGTTTGCTAAAGGTAAATTTCAGGTGCTTTTTCCGCACATGAGGACACAGCTAGGTTAATGAGCATGATTGTAGAAACCATTTCACTGTGTATATTGAAAGAGCACATGCAGCTTAAATATGCTCAAGTGTTGTTTTAAAATGCTACTGCTAAAAGAAAAATAAAATTGCTGTTGTGCTCCAAATCTGCTCAGTGGTTGAGGGAACCACCGCCCACAAGAACTCAGCTGTTTCCCACACCTGCAGCTTTGGGAACTGGATCAGGAGGGGCCCAGGCTGATGGACTCACTGGTTCTGAAATGTGCCTGTGTGAGAAGGAAATCTTGGGAAGCACGTTTTTGCTCATAGTTTCTTCCCAGAAGAGTGTCACTTGCTTTTTTTTTTTTTTTTTTTTTGGTTACACTCAGCTATGCTCGTGGGTTACTCCTGGCTTGGCACTCAGGAATTACTCCTGGTGGCACTTGGGGGACATATGGGATGACAGGGATTGAACTCAGGTTGGCTGCTTACAAGGCAAACACCCTACCCGCTGTACTGTTGCTCTGGCCCCCCAGAAGTGTCACTTTTGCTCCCGTTTCATTGGCCAGAGCAGATCTCTTGGCTTCACTGATTTTCAAACAGGGGCAGGTCATTATGGAAAGAGAACTAAGATCTTTGAAAAGAAGCAAGGCTTCCCTCCCTCAGTCTTACTTCAGTTCCTTATCTTTTTTTTTGTTTTGTTTTGTTTTGTTTACTTTTTGGGTCATACCCGGTGATGCACAGGGGTTACTCCTGGCTCATGCACTCAGGAATCGCTCCTGGCCTTGCTCAGGGATCC